TGTGAGAGGGTGACGCGAAACTAAACCTGTGGGGTGGGGGAGGGACGAAAAAACCCAGCGAAATAAAACGGTTGAAAGTGGTGGGACGAAAATAAACCGTACGAGGCTACCAACTGCTCCATTAGGAGTAGAGATAACGACGGGAGTTTGGGCGTGTGCGGGACTCGATCGCGGGGTTTTTCTTGGGTTTTCACAGCTGAGGGGGAGGTGGGAGGAAGTACCAAAGAAGTATCAAAAATGACCGGGTGAGGTGGGACGAAAATAATACCCGGAACGCGACCTACCAACTGAGACATTAGGAGTAGAGATCCGTGGAGATGAGGAATGTTGCACTGTGTCTTAATATAAGACCTTTTTTGATACTCCCTTTGTATCATAATAACAATTCAAATGAAGTCTTATATTATGTTACAGATGTTCTAGTATTTTCCAACCTTATAGGTTTGTGTGGTGTATGTATGTATATTTTTGCAAAAGAAAAACACTCATTTCCTAGCAATCACACCAACCGTGAGTACGATGCCAATGTGGACGACATTGTGAACTTGGACACACGCATGAAGCCAGCTAGGCAAAAGAGTTTACTTCGGGATGGCAATAGGGATACTTACAACATCTTCATCCCCATCTATTCCCTATCATCCCATCCTCGTCCCCGTTTACATGACCCGTTTACATGACTGGGGATGAAATTTCCCCATACCCATGCCCCGCTGGGGAAGTGGGCCCGTTAGGGTCCCCATCCCCATAAATAAATACTCATATACATAATATGGCACCTTATAATCAACATACATATATGTTGTTGTCCTTGTCCTGTTAATGCCTATCTAGCATTGACTTTTTGGTCATGGTGGCAGCTGAGGTGAGGATGTGAGATAGGTTTAAGGTTTTTTTTTCAGAGCTTTTTCTTGTTTTCGCAAGTTTGTTTGTGAATATTTTAAGGCTGACCGCAGTACCATAGTTACTAACCGGGTCCCCGGTGGGTATTGGGTCTGGGGAATAGGATATCGTCCCCATCCCCATTGTACCCTATGGGGAATAAAATAGTTTGGTAAATATCCCCATGGGGAAGTTTTTAGCCCATCCCCACCCCCTAATAGATGAAATCCCCACGGGTTTGGCGGGTATGGGGCCCCGTTGCCATCCCTAAGTTTACTCCCTTCATCCAGATATATAGTGCCTAATATGTATTTTGTGATTTACTTTGATCATTAATAGGATCGACAATATGCACATGATTCACTTGATTTCTTCTATCTGTTGTCGGGTGTTTTTTGCTTGCCATCATGACCATTGAGTCTCGCGCATTCAGCTCTAGCAGCAAGAAACTATTGTGTGCGAGTATGAAGCTTCCCATTGTGGATGACAACTGGTACCGGCGTTTCTACAAAGCCCTAAACACACAGTGAATTCGAATGAGTTTGTAGTTCTGTCTTCCCGTTCTATCTTTACTTTCTCCTGATTTGATCCATTATTAATCCTTTTTTATGTATTGTATTATGGAAAATGATGACGTCGGTTTTTATAACTAGATCAAAATGTATGGAGATTATCAGTTGGACTATGGCATAGTGCATTCTTGGAATGTAGATTTGCAACCCAATCCAATGTGTGCAGACAAAGCTAATGCAGGGTGGGTAGAGAAATGAAATTAACCAAAACGGCACAGATATCAATGTTAATGGTAGCTATGTTCAATGATGGAAATGGAATATTAGGTGTAATAAAGTTATCTTGTCTATTGTTAGGACTTGTGCTTATAGTCCTGATCAATGTTGTTGTTAGCCATCTGTAAAATTACCCGCAAAAAGAAAGCCATATGTATAATTGTTTATGAGTCTTGAAGTGGAATACACAATTATATAATGTTAGGGCATCTCCAACGCGGACCCTCAAACCTTCGGCATATGTTCGGACCGAGCGGTCCGGACCCCACAACCCATCCAACGGAGTCCCGCATCCGTCCGCGGACTAGTCCGGACTTCCGTTTTCCCACAAACCGGAACCATACCAGGGGGCTTTGCATGCGAAAGTCCGGTCACTAACCACGTAGGACTCCAACACCCAGACCCCCCTAAAACAAAGACGGAGCCCACGCTCTTGGAGTTGGCCGCATTGTTTCTGCGGCAAAATTACTATTTCTCGACCCTCTCAACTTCCAATGCCACTCTCCACCTCAATTCCCGCCTTTTTTGTCGAAGTCGATGCATAGAGGAGGACTTGTACGAAAAGTTGACGAAGAATGTGGTGTAGGATCCGAAGAAGGCGGTGTCCCACAAGGTCAACTCGGCGACACGGAAAGATCATTGGCTCTGACAGAAGGCAAAGGCGATGGAGGCCAAGAAGCAGAAGGCCGCCGGAGGTGATGGCCGTGGCAGGGGACATGTAGGGGTTGGTCGTAGTGTAGGGCGGAGCCAAGGACATAGGGCTCCGCCGCCAACGTCGTTTATGTAGACGCCGCCCTGGCCTGAGCAATACAAGCCTCCGTACGTCTATGCCGGACAACAGCTCGGTAGGCAGTCCTCGACATATGTCGTCGAGCACGTGCCTTACTGCGATGACGTCAACGCGATGCCGTTGCTTTTTCTTGGAGCCTGCATCGCCGTAGCTAGTCTGGTCGCGGGAGCCGAGTGTGGAGCAAATCGGTGCCCCCACGCAGTTCGTCGGTATGCCTCAAGTGGGCGAGTCGGCGTACAACGACACGGACATGCAGATGTTTGACGTGATCCTTGACGGAGGCAGAGGCTACTAGCCTACTACAAGGACGAGCAGGTGGATGACTTGAGTCCACACAGTCGGGCACGTACACCCAATCCAGCACGTACACACAACAGGTGGCCAATTTAAGGCCTCCTTTTGTTCATAAGATAAAAAATATCACATGAATAGTAAAAGTCATAGAAAATGAGATGATATGTGTCTTAAATTCTTATAGGAAAAGAGATGATATTTGGTTCATATGACATAAATTTTTTTCATCGGTGTTGAGCTAATGTTTTGTCCTTTCAAATGTGAACAATATAAACCAACGTTATATAGAACAAGACATCATTTTCGCGAAAACAAATGGCTCTAATGGAAATTTTCCTACAGTAATTCTATCCTACGTAATTCCTATAAAATTATGTAAACCAAAAGGATACCTAAGTTACTGTTGCTTAGGACAGTCTATGTATGCAAGACTATAAAAGTAAAAGTGAAAACCAAGTTTGCATGAAACTAAAGTGTTAAGGATAGAGATAACAAACACGAAGATTTATCTCGAGGATCAGATTGTTAGCGGGGTCCTACTCCTCGTCTATGGAGGTTTGAACATAGTTGCATAACACCCTAAGTCCTCGATCTTGATTACATATGTTGCCACAAAGTCATGTGCACGGTCTAGGGACACAAAGTCATACTGACATCTATCACAACACAACTTTCAAACACAAAAGGTTATTGTTTCACATTGATTAGATCACATGAAGTAGACGATCTTGGATCATTACGAAACTTCTTGGCTCCTACACAACTTGAAGGCTTCCAAGTACCTAGCCGGTCTATGAGGTGTAAACCCTCCAAAAGTTTTGAGAACTTAAGTTGCCCGGTAAAAAAAAACTTGTTTGTGCCCAACGAGCAATCTTCTCTACTCCCAAACTCTCATATGAAAATTTCCAGGCTTCCTAAAGTTGGAGTACTATTCGAAACATAGGAGTAGATCTGATGGTATTTCACATGCTTGAAAGACTTAACACAAGGTGGGAGATGAACAATGTACCTATAGATTGCATCCAAAAATCTGCGCACGAAATCACGTAGCTCAGAGCTTCCAACAATTATGTCCGGAGGCTCCGAAGTGAGCATATATGGTCACTAATGCATGTGAAACTACCATTCAAGCAGGCTTTGTCTTGGACCACAAAGCGCATAGGTTTTTAAATAATATTAATAATTTCCCCTTAAAGTTGGTAATGCGAGCTCAACAACATGCATGATGATATTGAGCTTTAACAACTGAACACCAAGGTTTTTGTTATTGACTAAAATCTTCATTTGGACACGAAGATGTTTTTTTTTTCAGTGCCAAGTTTACGAGACGATGATTTAGTCAAGTTTGATGTTGGAGAAGTTGTGGTTAAGCAATATTGGATTTTGTTTAGGATAAACAAGATTGGATCAAAGTCTTGAAGATGTTGTATTTTTTAGCAAGCAATTTTAAAAAGTCAAAAATTTCACGATCCACCCCAACATTTTTTGGAACACACATTTTACCCAACACAGGGTACGAGCAAAATGAAAAGAAACAATCCGTACCAAAAAAAAAACAAATGGCATGAAATGAAAAGCCATGTCGGCCCCAAATTGTCCACTTAGCCATCACGACGCCAGTTCGCATTTCCCGCCGCATAGCGAACCACAAGAAAAATGAAAGAAATTTTGTATATCCATTCCAGGCTGAGTCGTCCACCGTGTATTTTTCACAAGTCATGTCGACCTCAAAGCATCCAGCATCTCCGGCATAGAGAACCACAAGAAAATAGGAAAAAACCAACCGTGCCAAGGAAAGAGGAAAAAAGAAAAATGCCCAAGAAGCACGACCAACGATGTCGTGGAGACGTGGACGCACATTCCGTTCCACCTCCATCCACACGCACCCTGGTCGACCAAGAGCTCGCCGCGCTGGCCCACAAAAAAAAACAGCTCGCCGCGCTGGCCCACACGTCAGCTACCAGCAGTGCAGCACCCTGGTCGACCGAGAGCTCGCCGAGCTGGCCCACACGTCAGCGACCGGTGCAGGTGAGGTAAGAATTTGAGTCCGTTTTCCATTTTTCCTTCGAGCGGCGACGAAATGCAGTCCAGCTTTTGTTTGCTACCCACGCACGCGGCCGCGGGCCCACGGCCGGAGGAGCTAGAAAGACCTATCGCCACCAGGCCCGGTCCCGACTCCCGAGGGAAAGGAATCCAGCAAGCCAGCCAGGAGCGCGCCCCCACCCGCCGGCGACGGCAACGGCCACATGCCGACCGCCTCCTGCCTCCGCCCGCCTCTCCGCAGCGGCCGCTCCGCCGCGGCGCGCCTCGGATTCCCTCCCCCGCCTCCCCCGGCGCAGCTCTACCCGGCGGGGCTGGCGATTGGGAGCTGGCGGAGGAGGCTCGCCGGGGTCGGGGTGGCGGCCTCCTCCGCCTCGCCCTTCGACGAGCTCTACGCGCGGGGAAGGCCCATCCACGGAGCCTCTAAGGTGGGCTCCCTCCCCCTGACCTTACCCTCCCTCGGTCGCATCGCCCAGCCCACTTTTTCCCCAGAATTGAATAGTCTGGTTGCTTGTACATATTGAGTTTATTATTATGGGAACTGTTTGGTTCGTCATGAGATTGAGATTGTGATGCTCTGATGTGGCGGATGGAGCGTCCGCGTGCGGCTAGTAATATTTTGGTTACTAGATCATCTATCGGGGTCAGCCGCCTCTGTTAATTAATCATTATTAATACTTGTGAATAAGATGAGGTTCTTACCATCTGAAATTTGGTGTAGTCCGATGAGATGCTTGAAGCTGGTGAATTGTTGATCGGATTAATTGAGAGATCATAATTCGATGCTTCCACCTTTTGTTGCTGCCAGTGTGAGCTCGTGTCAATTTTGTACAGAAAGGGACAATTCAAAATACTCTTGAGTGTTCTGCAAGAGTGGGCACAAGTAATAAAGTTATAGTCCTAGTATTCTAATGTCGCTTGCCCACCGTCATCCTCAGGACTGGTCATCCTGGCAATGGATCTGCTGCTCATCGTCATTCTCAGAAACAGGTCTAAAGAATGGCAAGTCATGATCTTGCTAAAAGAGAGTTAGCTACTTGCTTTTCCTGGGACTCTCCCGTTTTGAATGATGTAGCAACACTTCAGATCTTTAAAATTGGGTTAACTTATGGATTAGATGGGTTTGAGTTGTATGCATCTGAAATACTTTACACGCACATCACAACTTGGCTGGTACGGGTGAATCATATATATCATATATACACTTAAGTAGTTGATCCCCACTATTTCTATTTATCTCAATATGCACGCATGCCACCTCATCGACCTTATTACTTCTATTTCTCATTTTCTCTCAACATGCATGAGAAGTGCTACAGAAAATTGTTTAATTTTATTGTTCTACCTTTACACCCGAAAATTGTTTGATTGTGTTCTGATTGTTTGATTTTCTTCTTCTAGGTTCTAGGTTCTTGAGATTGTATAGTCACTCTGCACTCTACAGTGCATTTTAATGACTATGTGTTTGATTTCCTTGTAGAAATCTACCTTGTGGAATTTGATCCAAGATATAGAGCCTTTGGATCTTAGTGTCATTCAGAGAGATGTTCCTCTTGAAACAGTTGATGCAATGAAGAGGACCATCTCTGGCATGTTGGGTCTGCTTCCATCTGATCAGTTCCGTGTTGTTGTAGAAGCCCTTTGGAATCCATTTTTCAAGTTATTGGTATCTTCAATCATGACTGGGTAAGCTCTCTGGTTGAGAAAGATATTTTCTTATTGATTGCACGTGGGTTTTCTGAGAGTTGGTTGCTTCATCAGGCACATGAATTTTCTTTTGCTATTTTTTCAAAAATAGATGACAATCAACAATGACCATCTTGAGGAAGTGTATGGCAGACTACACGTGAAACTGAAAAACTTACTATTCGTTAGTAAAGAATAATAGCATTTGAATCTGGAAAACGTAGCCAAGTTTGTAGTAGTGGTACAGCCATAGCATGCTATGCATTAAAATATAAGCACCATAATATCTTGGGAATGCGTTTGAATGGTGTTTGATCTTTCATTGTTGGAAAGTGACAATTCTTGGATGTATCCATGCTGTGGTGATTTCCTGATTTTTCTTCCATCCTGCAAGTATACATTTGTTTTCTCAAACCGTTCATTGTTTATGTTCTTTCAGTGTGTTCAGGTTCATCTGTTCCGTTTGGTTAATCACTAATGTGGTGGTATTGATAGCTTGGGCCTATTTTTCACTCCCTCCGTTCCATAATTCTTGTTGAAGTCGTGATTTTCTTATTAGTGCTGCTGAGTTGGTTGTCACTTGCTAATCACTCACAATTTTCACTGTTTCGTTGAGAAATAAAAACTAGTTACCTGCCCTCGTCTTTTTTAGCCTGATAGTTACCTACTTGACTATGTTTTAGAATTTTGGCCTGGAATTTCGGTGTATCTATTTTCAGTATTGTCGATATGAGTTGCCTGGAGATATAGATAAGAATTCCTTCCTTTGCCGGTAAATGCATAGGAATCAGGTTAATAGAACTGGAACAGTTTCAGCCTTCCTCTTGAATTGAGCTACTATCAAGGACATCATTCCTCTGTGATAGCTTTTTCTTTCCGAATAGTTCCCATGTGATAGCTCCTGTTACATTTTTTAAAAATTGGCTATGTTACAGTTGGGTTATTGCACCTATTTCTCAGTACTAGCATAATGCATGTGCGTTGCTACGGAACTACAAAATAGTTGAAGTTGCATTCGATTAGCAGTATACAACCAATGGACTTGAACACTGCAAAGAAAAACTCAAGCAAGCCCGCAACACTGCACTGTGTAACTGCACTGCCATGGGAGCACTGACATGTACTTATAAAATACTTTCTCATTCAAAACATGAGTGAGGTGGTCGCTTGCTGGTTTGATTGAGCTGGGTGTACATACATGTGTGCGCTTCGAGGCTTCCCAACGGCATTATTTTTTACTGTTTCGTCTATAAAAAAAAATCAAACCAGAGGGGTCTGATGGGTTCTAGATGGGATGGGATGGAATGGGGAGTGAACTCTTCCAAACCGGGAGGGGTCTGGTTGGTTCTAGATGGATGAGGGAGATTGGGATGGAATGAGGATTGAACTTACCGCTCCCACCACCAACTCCAATTTATAAGGTAGTAGAGATTTTGAACGAGTTTGAACAACTGTTTGTAGTCTTTGTTTTGTTTGTGAAGTGATTTATATTAACATTTGTCTTCAAAGCACAGCGGACATGTATTGATGTACTACAAGGCTGTAGTGCTTACTTCATTTCTTCTTGCAGGTATACTCTACGTAATGCTGAATGCAGGCTCTCTTTTGAAAGGAACCTAGAACTTTCTGAAGAAGATGCTGAATGTGAGAAAAGAGACATGACTGAAGATAATCTTCATGATATCAATTTGGGTAGGCCTGTTACAATTTTCAGATTATCGGAAGACGACATGCCCCAGGACTCTGGAAAAATTGACGAAGAACCATCTGGTGAGAGTATGGGAGAAATGTTAAGTAACTTAACACCCCAAGCAGAAGAGCAGATTATTCGGTTGCAATCTCGTTTGGATGCGATGAAAAAGGTAATAGTCTCAAATCATATGTCCTGATCAGGAATATTCAAATAATCACGAACAAGCTTCTTTCGGTTTATTGGTTATTGTTTTTATCATGTACCTGGTTATATTGCCTGATTCATTATTTAGGACTCCCTCCGTTCCTAAATATAAGTCTTTGTAGAGATTTCACTATGGACTACATACGGAGCAAAATGAATGAATCTACACTCTAAAATGCATCTACATACATACGTATGTGGTTCATAGTGGAATCTCTCCAAAGACTTATATTTAGGAACGGAGGGAGTATGATTTTGTTTATTACCATGCCTTCTGTTTCCTGCTGTAAATGACTATTGATCAAATATAAATTTTTAAAAATGTCTGCAATATATCTATGTCTGTAAATGACTGTTGATCAAATATAAATTTAAAAAAAAAGTCTGCATATATCTATCTTGTTAGGCCCGTGAATCAAATATTGGCTTCTGCTGCCATTGGAACTTTACAGGTTCATCCCAACCATGTACTCTACTTTTACAATTTTCTTGTTAAACATACATGCTAAAATCATCTTTAACTTGTATTTGTATTACTGAGAACTGATCTGACACCAATTGAATTTCATTTCGATCCGCTGTATTGCTATGCACTGAAGTCTGCTGCTTTGTGCAGCTTTTGTTGTTGTAAAGTTCTTAAGTGCTATATTTATATGACGGCCACCACTTTGTGCAACTGTTTCTGTGGAAATCCTCGTTGATTATTTTGTGGCTGATGATATGCATTGTGCCTGTTGTGTTCAAACCTGAAGGTTTATTGTTTTATAATCTTGTAGGAGTTACATGACCTGAAGAGGAAAAATTCTGCCCTTCAAATGCAACAGTTTGTTGGGGAAGAGAAAAATGATCTGCTAGACTATCTAAGATCCCTAACACCAGAGAAGGTATGTACATCTCAACAGCTTACTGATGACTAACTGCTCTTGGTACAAACCCCAAGCAACAAAGAAAATCCAGAGATTGGTCCTAGGTTTCTTTACAGTGGCATGGCATGACTAGCTGTTGTGCACAGGTTGCTGAACTCTCGGAATCCACCTGTCCTGGTGTGCAAGAGGCTATCCAGTCTGTTGTGCATGGTTTGCTTGCTACTCTTTCCCCCAAGGTACACTCGAAGTCTCCTCCACCAGTAGAGAATGCTGGGGGAGCCCTAAATTGTGGGGGTGAGGACGATGACTGTGCAGAGCTTGTCGAGAATACTTCCCTCCCGTTTCAGCCCCTAATATCTGTCCCACGTGATTATCTTGCACGTTTGTTATTCTGGTAAATACAAATCAGATTCGTTATGCTTTGTTTGATTTGGCCTTTCCTTTCTGTTCATGGCCAACTAGTGATCGACATTGCATTCTGCTCAGGTGCATGTTGCTGGGTCACTACATCCGAGGTCTGGAATACCGGTTAGAGCTGGCACACCTTCTCAGAATATCTAGCGACGTGGGGTCTTTCCCCATTGATGACGATCATTTTATTTGAGAAAGCTTCGCTGGCTTATTGAGATCCGTCAGCGAAGAGGATGAAAATGCACTGGCCAAGAGGCCGCAGAAGTTGCTGTTTGGGGCATTTCCTGACAATGAAACAGGGAGTTCTGGGCCATAGCTCCTGTTGTAGTTCTTGTAAAGTCGGAACGAAGGCGTTCGGGTGTAAAGTTAGTGTTACATATCAATGTGAACAATATATTTTATTTCCTTCTATTTATTGTGTCGTATACAAAATAAACATGTTGCTCTTGCTGCTAATCTCGTGGTAGCATGGTGGATACTGGGTATTAGGCATCCTTTGTACTCATATGTTGTATGTATTTGTCTAATGTTTATCACGTGAATGATATTATATTGTCGAGTCTTATCAAGGTTCCTGGACGTGTGTACTGCCCTGTTATATCACAGCTCTAGATGAGTGGTTCTTGATGAAGGTAAGTAGTGTACAGTCTGCCTTTAGTATATCTTGTACTCCCTTCGTTCCATCTTACTTGCCACTCAAAAGGATATATCTAACATTGAAATATGTTTTGATACATCTGTTTGAATCCGAACAGATGTATCTAGCATAGAAATATGTTTAGATAATGTGTTCTGATACATCTGTTTGAATCTGCTCGAACAGATGTATCTAGCATTGAAATATGTTTAGATAAATCCGTTTGAACATAATATGGAAAGGGGGAAGTAGATAGTTACGTATGATGTAATAACTTTGTATGATGTAATAACTTTGATTTGAGATCCAAGAAATAGTATATGATGACAACATACATCTACCATTTCACAATTTTGTTATATTGATTCATCAAAAGCACTTAAAGCTTCAAAAGCATCTATTTAGGAGCTTCTATGGCTTTTTCGTCAAAGTGGAAAAGCTGCAAAAGCAGAAGCAAAAGTCCAAACAAACAAGGCCTTAGAGCATCTCCAATAGAAGATGTAAATTTGAAGATGTAAAATTTTACATCTTCAAAAAGTGTTTTTTACATCTCTAGGAAAAAGGCAACTTTGTTTTTTACATCTCCAGAAAAAAGGCAACTCCAATAGAAGATGTAAAATGGTGATGTAAAAGTGCAACTCCACCAGATGATGCAAATTTATGTAAACTAGTTATGCCGCTGACCATCAAGCACGACGGAGTGCCTCGGGTTTGCTCTACGGGCGACAGTTTGCAGCGGCGTTTGGCGCTACAGATAGCTGGGAGCAAGGCGCGTCCTTTGTGGCAAACGAGAGAAGTTGCGGTGGCTGAAACTCGACGGGAGCGAGCTGGACGCGGCGGCCGGAGCATGGCGGGGCTGCAGGCGGCGGTTCAGAGCTGCGGGAGGCGATGCGGGGTTGCGGGCAGCGGTGCGGGGCTGCGGGCGTCGCCAGTGGTGGAATCGAGCGGCGGCGATGCGGGGATGTGGGCGGGGCGGCGACGGTAGTGGAATCGAGCGGCGACGGCGGTGGAATCGAGCAACTGCGGAAAAACGACCGATTCGTGG